GACCTAACTGTCTCCATAGAATTAAAGTCGCTATTAAGGTCCTCCACCCATTTGAGCATAACTGAGTAGGGGCTATTCCACAGGAGGAAAAGAATGACCTAATAATTCTTGGAAAAGGCAACCTCAGGCTAGCCTGAAGAATAGCACCGTTAAGAGCGACAGATCCTACAGGGGGGCTGTTAGCTCGGTCAGAGGAGGAAGGCATAACTAACTCTACGGAAGGGGGAATGCCATACCTATTCCTAATAGTAGCTAACGAACTCTCCATTATTACCGACCTAAGATTACTCGCCCCCCAAGTCTGATCCCTGCTACTGCTCTTCTCTCGTGCTCTCTCCTCCCTTATTTTACGCCTGTGCTCCATGCTCCTAGGTGAATTTGATATTGGATTTGGAGGAGGTGGTAGAGGATAATACGATGCAATAGGAATAGGTGTGAACACCTCCTGGCAGTCAGAACTAGCAGAGGAAGGGTTATACGACGGAGTGGATGAAAAAGACGCAGATTCTTCCTGTTGATTCCCCCAGGACTGTACACGAGATTCGTCCGAACTCATATAAGCAAGTGGAAGGAAAAGTAATGCATAAAAAGAAAAGGTATTCCAAGTAGCGAAAGAAATACCTGAACAATGGTTCCACTTGAAAAATTTCTTAGAAGAAAAAGAAGGCCAAGAATCTGTGAGTCTAAGGGGTTTGAGAGATTTGAAGTGTCAAAGTAAATGAAATAAGGAAAGAGAAACTAGGAATATTATAAGGCAGGATTTGAACCGTTGGGAGAATCAAATTGATTAAACGGCTATCAATCAATGCTAATCAAAGAAGAAGGCGTCCCACCAATCGCTAAGAGACAGGTGTACCGACAGCTGTGGGGGCTAATTATTACGCGAGTTGGAACTTGTGCCGCATTATTTCGGAGAGAGGTCGACTTCTTACTTAAATAAGAGCTGATCTGGTTGGTCACTCAGCTCGGACTATCATATCCCAGTAAGGGTAAAATAATGCGAGCTCGGTGGTATGAGGTCAGTTCGGCTCTAAGTAACTTACTCGACAAGCTATTGTAGTCCTTCAAGGCACAACAGTAATCAATGATTACAGATCGCTGACAAGATCTTTGAGTTACCAATCAGAGAGGCACACGTGTAAAGGTCCTATGTCAGCG